CTATGTATAACATATATAAGTTGTAAAGGATGACGTGTGCCGTCGAAACTAACAAAAAAAAAAGAGCCGACATTTTTGAAAAATTTTCAGATTTTTCTGTTTGAACGGCTGTAACTCGAAAACAGTAAGTCTAGCACCAACCACTAGCACACTAAACAAATCATTGGTGTAGATAAAATAGCTTTGAAACTGCACTTGACAGAATTTTTTCAATCCGATATTTCTAAACATCCAAAACTATTGTTAGGCGTCCAGGGTCCCCCCCCCCCTCCACACCATACAGGAATCATCCAGCGTGCTCATTTACAACCAAATTGAACCACCTTGCATAAAATAAACTATAAATATATGCAAGAATTTGTTAAAAAGTATACAAAATTTTAAAATATTCATAATTTATACTTTGGTTAAAAAATTTTTTCCAAAGGTTAGGGTTGAATATTTTATAGAGAGAAAAAAAAAAGAAAGATTTAAATAATCAAAATTTTGTTTTTGTTTTTCTTTTTTCCCCTCTCGCTCTCTCTTTTACTGTAAATTGAAATGAAAATGAGTAAAATAAAAGTAGAAAGAGCAGGAGTATTTATGTGGTAATGGTAGGTAGGGGTATAAGTTTATATTATGGTGATAGGTAAGTTACGTTCGAGAGTAAAATAAAGACAGGATGCTTGTTAACAGAAGAAAACAAAAAGAAAGAGAAAAATATGAGATAGATTGAATTTTAAATGAAAGATTTAAGATAAAATATTTTTCTCACTCTTATTTTGTTTTTTTTTCATTTTTAATACATTCATTGCGGTTTATTTGATTTCTTTCGTTTATTTATTATAAAATTTAAATAATTTTCTGGTTTATACTATATATATTTTTGGTTTAACTACACTATTCATATACGCAGCGCAGGATCTACAATTTATGCAAAGTAAACATTTGTAATGGGCGCCCGAAAACTGGGGCGGCATTGAAAACTTAAAAAAGAAAACTAAATTTTAAAAAATAAAAATTTTTTCCAGTTTTTGTATTACATGTTCTCAAAAAAATTTTTTCTTCCCATTGACACCAAAACTAGCATGATAACATGGCTTATACACAAACATTGGAAAACTAAAAGCTGAAAGTTTAATTTCACGCTTCAATTCTATGATTAATTCAGCATGATAGAGTTACAAGAATGTGATTTATTATGTTTAATTCACAATGTTAATTGCAATTTCTTCATTGCTTTAAAAGAAGGTACGCACTCTTCGGAATTCGCGTGGGGCACCGAACAAGTCAGAATCGGGCCTGCGTTTACCTATTTATATACGAAAACATTCGAATATCTAAAATTTGGTATAAAATTTGTTTTCTTAATATACATATAAATTAGAATATTGTTATACATACATATATATTTACATTGTACGCGAATATGAATATTTTCTTATAATTTATCATAAATAATTTTTGATTATATTTTATATATACTTACGTATATATGTATATATACGTAAATTCCATTTTAAGAATATTCAAATTTACATTTATACGAGTATTTACTATTTCTGGTTTTTTTTTATAAGTTAAATTTAAGTGGCAATTTTGAGGTTTCAATTATATAAAATAAGAAAAAATATAAGAGCAACAAAATTAATTTATAAGTATACGCACCACTTTTCAAAGGAAATAAGAGAAGAGAAAAAAAAATTTGCTGAAATCAAGATGATAAATGTTGCCAGTTAACAAATTTTTAACAGTATAACACCGTCGCACACCATCTACATCAAAATTTTTCCGCGATAAATTATGAGAATAATTTTACATACTTATGACGGTAAATTTATTTCAGTTCAACAAAAACAATTTTGATAATTTTAGTATTTTCTTCTTAAAAATATAAAAAATTTTGTGTAGGAATAAGGAATTTTTTTTTTTTGTTAAATTATTCATTTTAATATAAAAATAGCTCTAACATAACTTAATTGTGGGATGTTTTCTAAAATCTAAAAATATTGTTCATAATGGAAGTTGAATATTATAAGAATACTCGTAAATTGTGAAATGAAATGTAGATTTGAAGTATAGAAGTAGTTCCAATTGTGAAACGGGTTATCTGAGCAGAAGAGTACACATGTTTCTCTCTATACTATTGAACGTTAACATTATGCGACTACTTAAGTGATATTTGATGAACTAGTATATCTAACTTTTGACATATAGAGGAGACCTTCGATAATACTTCACATAATACAAAGCTGACCGAATTAAAATAAATTGGTGATGGTGAAAGCAAAAGCTTTCTCTGCAAGGATATAAGAACGCTCATTGTCCGTGGTGAGGTAGATCGACACCATGACAGTAATGTCGCTTCTAACTTATGATACCAGTTATGATACTTGTGTGTGATACTAGGGATTCGCTCGAAGTTACAGTTACAGAAAAGGGTTTTTGACTTGGATTTGGTATGCATTTGCATCAGCCGAGTTATGGAAAAATGATCAACTGCAAGGGTAGTTGTTATTCCAGGATTGACGCAATTGAACTTTGGCGTGGTTGAAGTTTGTTGTGAGGATGATTTATTGTGAAGAGATAAGCTTCGCGAAAAACTTAACGTAATGCTTGGCTGAGGAGCTCAAGACCCCATGTTCAATACGCGGGAAAGTCGAATGTTTGTGAGATTATCGGAGACAATAAATAGTAATCGTGACGGACAAATACTACAAGTTGCTCGAATTAATCATGGTGGATTAGTTCGAATTAATCAAGGTAGAGGGCCTCGAGTGTTGTAAAGGAGGGTCGAAAGGTTTCTTGTTTTTTTAATTTCCATTTTCCAGTTCCTTTCAATATAATTTTATTGTGTTGTTTTACTTTAATAACTGGGTTATATTAAATTACAATAGACCTACAATTAAATTTGAATTGACATTGGAATTTACCTTTATGAAACAATAACATTAATGTAACAATTTTTATACGAGTAAAACAATGTGATGAAAAAAAAAACAAAATTTCATTAAAAATTTTTGCGATAATATCAAAAATATTAACTTGATAAAAAATTACAACAAACCAAATAAATTAAAAATTATTTATATTTTGCAAAAAATGCTGTTTTGCAACGTTCACTTTCATGTCATGCAATATTGTAAATAAGGAACACACAGTTATATAACACTTAACAATTCGAAAGGTAAAGGAAAACAGTACATTCGAATTTTATATATTTTTAACTGAATTATTTTTTAAAATGCAATATATTTGGGACTTATAGCAGTCCTCTGAATTTTCAAATTAAATTTCGCATTGGATATGTCATAAATAAAGGAACAAAATTGTTTCGAATGGGCCTTTGAATGAAGTATATATATACCAGTTATTGTTAAAGTTTAAGTTAGTGTTAAAGTTTAAGATTTGTAATCATTATCAAGGTTAGGTTAGTTGACGTTGACGTGGCTCCCAATAGTACACATGAGTCAATTAGGACGGCGAACAATCAATTATCAAATGATGCATAATTCAATTAAGTCTGAGAGCTACAATATTAAAGGCCAAAGAAATAATTCAGTTTTTTCAAGAATATATAAAAAAATTCAAATTTATTGTACTCCAGGATGAACCCTACATTTTTGTAGGGGCTTGTACGTCATATTAAGTAGGTGGTTTGCATTTTCTATTTTATACCAATCTAACCTAAATTTTTTAAGTTTTCAATTTCATAAATAACTGAATTTAATGCTCATATAAACTTTAATTTATTTTGATTGTTTACTGTTATATTTCATGAACTTCGTTTTATACGTTTGTATATATTAAAGTATACATAAAAAATTAAAAAAAAAAAAGAAAATAAGAAAAAACTGAATAAATTTTTAACATAAAGAACGAGATAAAAATCATAAAATCTAATTAAGTAAATTTGTTTAACATAAATAAATAAATAAGAACTATATATGATAAAGTATACAAAACTGTTATACAAAAACGTTTATACGAGTATACATAACTTTGTATTATATGTATAACTGTTATGTATAACAGTATGAAAAATGCTACAATATTAACTAGCATGTATCAAATTAACAAATTATACATATATCACACAATATACATACATATATCATTATAAAATGAAGAAGCGAATCAACTATAATTACACATACACACAATAATATTATTTATGTATAATATATATAATAATTAAAGTATAAGGTGCAGAATAATAACAAAAATAGTTGAAAAAAAAGCAATAAGGAAAAACAAGTAGCAGTAATCTTCCTTTTTTAGTTTTCTCGAAAAAAACAAAAAACATTTGCTATAAACACGTAAATTAAATAATTTATAGTTATTTTCACTATTACAATCATTAATATTAAATGTATATATGTGAGTATAACAATGTGCCCATTAAAGTTTTAAAGAAAAAAAAAGATAGAAGAAAAATACCAAGCGAATAACAACAAAAATAAAAGAAAGCTTATAGTGTTCCCTCTTATGTAGAGCAAAGAATAAGTATAATGTAAAAGAAAACAAAATCACACTATTAAATAAAACACACAAAGCCAATATACACATCTGTGGTAATAAGGGAACAGTGCCTAAGTCACAATTATCTGTTTTGAGTAAATCAAATCTAAATTTTTTAATTTGTTTTTGGAAAAATAAGACAGGGGCCCCAGAACTAAACTCCAGTTGATACTTAATAATTCTTTTGACCTTAATCGAAATTTCGAAATCGTAGCATGAAATTTTTTTTCAGAAAATAATTTCTCACTTCAATATGACAATCGATATATTATCATTATTTTGCCCTCAGAGAATTCAAATGTGGCAAAATCTGAATTTTCGTTTAAAATGACTTAAACAATTTTGTCTTATCACCACAGTAATGTTATATTGTAAAGTATGTATAAATTAATTATTTTTTGTTTAAACACTAACTGTATATAAGAATAAACTTTAACTGTTTTATTTATTGATATATAGATGTATAATATATATATATATATAAATATATGAAAATTTACCAGAAGAATTTTCCGGCAAGTCCTTTAGATTTTGTAGTTCTCTAATTGCTTTTAATTCATCTAGAGGAGAACGGCCACCTTTAATTACCGTTTATTTTTTTTTTTGGTTATATATATAAAATTATGTATAAAATATGTATGTCTGTATGTATATATGTAGTAATATAGATTAAAGAGAGAAATATACGTGTATGTTGTACGTATATAGGATTATTATGGTAATTATAAACAAATTATGATGTTCATGTATATTTTGTTGTTGTTATTTATTTTTGTGTTAAGCAAAATTATGATTAATTTTTTTTTTTCATTTATATTTGCTCTATTTTTTTTTATTGTAAATTTAATATGTTTAGTATATAGATACTGCGTTATATAAGGGTAACTGAAATTTTATGATTCGCAATAATAATATTAAAATAGTTCAGAGAATATTAAAAAATTCCATGTATAATATGCAAGAATGTATATATGTATGTAACTAGTATATATGTATATAAAATTAGAATATAGAATTGTATAAATGAGGTGGATTTTATAAATGAGAAGTGTTAAACAAGGGTAATTTAAACGTATGTATATATGTATGTAGAAAGTACGAGTATAATTAAATTATTTTTTTAAATGAGTTGGTTTTGGATTTGATATAATTTTGTTTTCTGCTCTTGTTTTTCATGTTATACGAGTATGATTATTTTTTTGAATAAAATTAATTTTGTATGATAGTGCGATTAAAATTATATTGTTATAAAATGGTTGTTTTATGAATGATGAAAATAATAATAACAGTTAAATTACATATATAAATAATTAAATAACAAATTAAACACATGATAACATGAACAGAGAGAAATTCTTGTTATACAAAAAATACATAAATTAGATTTTTATTAATTTTTTAATTTTTAGATTTTTATATAAAGACTATTAGTTAGGTACTTAAATGTTCTGTTTTTTCACTAAGATTAATAATATTGAATAAAATATTGCCATATTTCAAGATTTCTAAAATTCACTCAAATATAATCGCTCAATTTTTTCAATTAATACTTAATAAATAAATCTCGAATTTAAAATAAATAATTTTACAAATATTTACCACGGTAGATTTGTTTTTTAAAATTTATTAAATTTTCGGAAACAAAGCGTTTTGGTATGGTAAATTATTTGAGTTTATACTTAAAAAAAAATAACTCAAAAATAATAGAAAATGAGTGGAAATTAACCTGTTCTCTTTATAAAATTTTCTGAAATAAAGAGTAATTAAACAGGTTAAGAATTAAATACTATCAGTGCCAGCAATATTGTTAAATATCTTATAATTTAAACATAATTTCACTATTCTCATTGAATTTTACTTAAAATTTGAGTAAATTTTATTGAGTTAATTTTGAAAATTTTTAAATTTTAACTATCCGAATTGATTTCAGAACGAATCTTGTAAAATAAATGAATTGAATAGCCTATTATAAATATTTAATATTAAGAACAAATTACGACAGGCTCCATACACCGACCTATCTTTGTAAACAATTATTTTAAATAATTTTGAACGTATATATATGTAAATAATCAATTAATTAAGTGAACGTTATTATAAATTAAAAATTTTTGATCATTATAAATTTGTTATAACCATAAATTAATTAAATTAAAAAAAAAATTTAGCAATAAATTAGTTTATAAAATATACAATTATGTATTGTTATTATATTATTTAAAATTATTATTATTATAAATTATATTGATTATGAATTAAATTATGTATATAAATAATGTATGTATAAATGTAGTAAATATTTATTATATTCCAAATTCAATTTTGAATAATTATATTTTTTTAAATATTTAATTTATGTTAAATTTCAAAAACAAAAATATTATAAATTATTTTACAAAGTGTGTTGTAGTAAATAACATTCATATATATCAGTTTGCTAGTATATATATTGTGTAACTATATCGAAGCAAATTTTTAATAAATATTATTTATATTTTATTGATATTATCGGTTTAATAATAATAAAACAAAATAAAGAATAAATTTTTTTACAATATTAAAATATTACGAGTAAATGCGCCCAGAGGTATGCAATTTTATTATTTTTATTCATTATTTTCATTATGATTAGTTTATAGGTTTAATTTATTTTTTTTTTTTAATTTAAAAATAAATCCGTATAATTATTTATGATTATTTTTTTTATTTATGCAGTTATTAAATATTTTGTTAAATTATGTATGCACTAAAAAGGCATATATATTGTGGTATATATACTATAGTTATATTGTATACCAGTATAATAATAAAAAATAAATTTTAATAGTATTTCGATTTTTTTTTTGTTTTTTAAAGTATTAAAATTCGTATACGAATTTATTTTAAACAAAAAGGTAAGCATGTACACACCAAATTATGTAATAAAAATAATAATAATCGTGTATATGACGTATGATTTTAATCAATATAATATAGATTATTATTTATGAGAAAAAATTCAGGTCATCATACAGAGAATATTTAATGTACCTACATGTAATGTAACATCAACAAGTAATGTACATATATTATTTTTTTGCATAAATAAAATCTGAGAATTAAATGTGAAAGGGTGGGTGGGGGAGAAAAAGTGTATAAAAAACAACTGAAATAAACAACAACTGAAATAATAATAATAAATATTATGAAAATATTTGGGAATGTCACATAAGAAATGAGAAAAATTGCATATATAAAATGTGAGACAAAAGAATGGTATTCATTACATAAAGATGAACAAAAATACCACCAATATAATGAGAACAATAAATTATATTATTCATCTCTCTTTCATCTCTCTCTCTATCTCTGTATTGGAGCGTTTTCGTTTGTACAATTGAATAATGTAGAAATATTTACTACTGCACTACAATATTTTTATTATTTTTGGTTTTTATAATTAATTTTTTTATTATTATTGCTATTCATTCTTATAAATTTTTTACTTTTACAGGTAAAATTGTTAAATTTTTTTTTTTCGTTTTCTTTGAAAACTTTTATCATTTTTATTTTAATTTTTTTTTAAATTATTGCATGTTTGTATGTATAAGCATATATATATATTATTAATTAAAATTTTGCACATATATTTTTATTCGCATAATGGAGTTACCGGACGTGTAATAAATCAAGAGAAACTTTGTAAATAGCCCTTGAAAGTAAATATGTAGGAGTTTTAAATGCAATGGCATTTCTTTATGGCTATATTTATATATCAGTAAATTGTTGAAAATGGCTTTAACAGAATTTCAATTCACTTGCTCTGTAGGAGTACGTACACAATTCTACAATCAATTTAATCAAGAGAACATATTCATATATATACTATTATATGTATCATTTTTCGGTACAATTTGTATAATATTTTTAGCAATCATTTTTCTCTCATTAATCACTGAAATTTTGAAATATGAAAAATTTTTTGGAAAAAACTTGCAAAACAATTTGAACACAAATATGAGCCACACGGCCGCACTTTCAAATAGTTGAAAACAATTTTATTTTTAATGAGAGAAAAATTATCTGTCTCATATTTCATGTATAAAATATGTTTCTCTTTCATTATTAGTTACTCCATGTTTGTGAAAAGTTTAACAAGAGATTTTTACGGGATTGAATTTCTCATACTGTTAGAATGTAATTATTAAATTTCAATTGATTAGACTTTATTTTTTAAGAAACATGAACATTGATATCAAATATCGATCACTCGATTTGCTCTTTTTAATTCTCTCAAATTGCTTATGCAATTACTGTAATATTAAAAATTATTTTTACCATTATTTTAAATTTCAAAAGCATCTCAAGAAAATTAATGATCCGGTAACTTTTCTTTTTTTTGCTTTTATTAATATATGTATATATTATATATATATATATATATATATATATATATATATATATATATATAATAATTATAAATACACAACGAAACTAAAAAAAAATTAGCGGAAGCTATGCTATCTATATATATGAAAACAGGACAATAATATGGTGAATGTTATTCATGTATGTATATATATATTTGATTTCAGTTGTTTGCATATATATATATATATAAATATATATAGCATGTAATGTACGTTGTTGGAAAATGTAGATTGGATTTAAAATTAAAATATATATATATATATATATATATATATATATATATATCTATATATATATATACATATATATATATATATACATACATACATATATATATATATATATATATACATACATATATATATATATATATATATATATATGTAAAACCATAAAGAAATTCGCAACAAGAAAATAGTATAGGAGAACATATCATAGGGAAATGAAGAACAAAATATAAAAAATAAACGAAATACAAAAAGAAAAGCGGAATTATTATATGAAGGATTATAAAAACAAAATAAAATTGTAAAAGAATATAAGGCAATGAACAAAGATAAAGGATAAAATAAGAGAAATAAAGCTGCGAGGATTGAAAAAAAAATAAAAACAAAACATTAAAATTAACATATTTAAAATCTCTTTGGGCGGCCAACATAATAATCAATATGGATGGATAATGTACTCGATGGTTCTCTTTTAATTTTTTCTTTGTCATTATTTTTGTATAAAGGATTTTGAAATTATATAGATAAAAGAATATATAAAAAAAAAATTTTCACCTGGTTTTCCATAATATGCTGGATCTCCGAAATAACTTCTTGCTTCCATACCTGGTTCACCTTTTGGACCAGTTATACTTATACCCGGAGTACCTGGTGTTCCTATAAATATAGAAAACCATAATATCATCAATATAGGAAAATATTTTTTTTTATCATATGAATTTTAAATTAAAAACTCTTATATAAATTTTCTTTTTAAAATATTAAAAAACAGAAATTGCATATAATTATTTACCTGGTGGACCTGGTGGTCCTGGTGGTCCTGGCAATGGAACATATTGAACTCCATCACCTGAAAAAAATTTTTTCATTATTTTACAAATGTGTTGTTTGTATTTTTCTAATTAGACAATAATGCAATAGTGAAAAAGGAAATAATTGTATTTACCTGAAGCAGCTGGAAGACCTGGAGGTCCTGGTTGACCATCTCTACCATCTTGTCCTCTTTCACCTTTTTCTCCTTTAATCTATTGAGAATAAAATTAATTAATAAAAACTCTTAATATACGTTTTCCCTTTATATGTGGTTTTTAATTGGAGAGTAAATTATTATTTTTTTTTTTTTTAAAATAATTATGATTAATTTATGAATGCTATTAAAAGTAATGAATTAAAAATTCAATTATAATTGGAAATTTTTTAAGGGTATAGAATATGAATATGAACAGAAGTAGAATGTTAATCATATTGTGGTAATGTAGTTGTATAACAGATAGGTGGTTTATTATATTTTAAATTTAAGAATATACGAAGTTAAGCCTATTTGTGGAAAAGCCTTCCTTATTATTCATTAAAGAATTTTCAATTTTAAAAAATTATTCACTTTTATTCAAGATTATTTGCTGAATATTTTCACATTCATTCAAGTAGATGGGAAATTTTTTTTCCAAAAATTTCAAAAATTTTCAATATAACAGGAATTATTCGTTAATTTATGAAAGCGCCTGGAAATATGCAAATTTTCAAAATTTATTGAAAATTATTTAAACTTTAAGGGACGAAATAATTTTTTCATTTACTGCAATTTCCAAAACATCTAAAATTAATAAATCGAAAACTATCCTTTATTTTTCAAACAAAATATTTTATAATGCAAATTGTAATAAATTTTCTTCAAAAAAGAAAAAAAAAACCAACAACAACAATAATAATATTAACAAATCATCCCCTTTTATTCTTAATGCTTCATTAATGTTAAAATTTACAAAAAAAAATAAAGAAAAAACCTTTTATAATTTAACTTTTAACAATTTTGCAAAAAAAAAATACCCATAATGCCTATATATATGCAAAAGGTATAAATAACAGAAAACAAAAGTCAGTAATGGGGAAAAATGTCAGAATTTAACACAAAGCATTTTCAATTTAATCGATTTAAATCGATTACAATTGAATCCTTTTTACTGCTTTTCCTTTTTTTTTAAATGGTACATCTCCATTTAGGGTGCGGTATTTTAATTGATGACTATAATTACATCCGTACAAGTCGTATAACATTTTTGTTTCCCCCGTTTTTTTTTTTTTAATTTTTCTTTGTTTTACAACTTTAATAAAATTATAATGTAATTTTGTGTAAATTTTTAATTCGAAAAGAAAAAAAAAATCCAGTATAATGAAAAATTGAAAATAGATAGAGGGAAGAGGAAAATTGAAAATATTTTATCTTTGTTTTCAAAGTCACATAAAAAAAATAAAAGAGTCTTTAATGGAATTTTAAAATTAGGGATCGCTAAAAAAGAAAAAATGTAAGGAAAATTTGAGAAAATTTCTTTGAAAATTTATAATTATTTTTATAAGAAGAAGTAAGGCAAGAATGGGTATTGCAAAATTGTGTTTGTATAATTTGAGTTTTTTGAGTTTTAAATTAATTTTAAATATTAATTTTGAACAAGTAAGAATAGCTCCAACACTTGCCAATAATGCTTGCTAATAATTTTAAATTAAAGTGTTTGAATGATTGGGATTTCAATAACACTATATGCTCACATACTATGAATCTTTTGGGAAAATTAATGTTAAATTATTCCCTCAAAGCGATTATATTGGATTTTTTTTTTAAATTTTTGATTATTTAAAGATACAAAGTTTAAATTAATGTCGAACAAATAGTTGTTATGCACATTTGAGTAAAATTATTTTTCATTTTTAATTAAATTTTCGCTATCCTCAAATTAATTATATAAGAAAAACCAAACTGTTAATCGAGCGTAAATATCCCTAATCCCTAATTTATTTTATTGTTATTAAATATTTTCATTATTTTACATAATTACAATCAAATACGTTAGTCAATTGTATATTTTATTAAATTTACCAAAAATTTTTTTTTTTTGACAAATTGTGGTCATTTTAATATTGTTATTCATCTGGCAGTTAAAATTCTTAATAAGATCGTAGAATAGAATCCAAACTAAATTTTCAATTAATTTCAATTTTATTCAAAATATTTTATAATATAATTTTTTTTAATTATTATTCTATAATTTTCGGGGGAGAAGATTTCAATTCCTTTCAAATAATTAAAACAAAAAATATTTCCTTTTATGAGATTAAAGCATAAATACTCTAAGAAAAAAAATATTTAAATATCAACTTAACCATGAAAATACATTAAAATGCAATATTTATTCATGACATATTCACATATGATTTCGTACACACACACATAAACATTTAAATATAAGTGTGTATTCATATATAATAAACTATAATATTAATATTACATTCTGTACCCTTTTTTTTTGGAATAAATGTAACGAAATAAAGAAAAATTCTAAATAAAAAACGCAAAAAAAATTTGATGTGATCAGCACATAACCGACCGCACTGTATATTGTCTAGTTTAATATTACAGAAAATTATGAAAATGTCTTTGGAATGTTTCCTTTTAAATTTTAAGGGGATTAGTAAGCTCTTAATTAACATTTTTATAAAAATGTAAATTTGTTTCTTAATTAAGCTTCGTTTTTGTGCCATACGAATTAACTGAAGAGTTCATCATTTCGCTTCGGTACCAACCAGAACTCAAATATTAAATTTCAAGAAAACCCCATCAAGTAGTTCTGTAGATATGGTAAAAAAAGTAAAATCCGCCCTTCTTCCGATTCCTGACCTTTCCAAAAAAATTTATATGTTCATTGTTTTAACACCCAGAATTTAAAAATTAAATTTCGAAGAAATTGGTCGATTATTTGGTTCTATATGTGCGAAAATGTAAAATCGGCCAGCAAAAAATCCAGTTTCGGGCCTCGGGAACTTAAAATCTCGAATAGATCAACTTTTAATATCTTAAAAGTTGATCTATACGAGACAAACTCGAAATAAACTCACATATAAAATTTCATTAAAATCGGTTTAACCGAACTTAATACATACGTGACAGGAGCACCGAAATACCGACAACTCCCTGAACACAGTTTCTTTACGTTATCTTACTATGAAGAAGCGCCTTTCCATCGAAAACTTAATATGCGAAAGTTGCTGCCATCACATAACTTCTCTTATGGTATGCAAAGCGGTTGGTAAAAAACAAGGGAGAAAAAAAAACCAATTATCCTTGACAAATACAAGGATTTCCCTTAAAGCTTTTCCGGTACACTTAAAAAATGAGGAATACTTTTTGTTTTTGAATATTTTCTCTTTTTTCCTTATATTCCATCAAAAAGAGAACACAATTTAGGTGAAAATATTTTTGCGATCTCAAAAGGTAAATGTATGCTTTTGAAGTGAAAATCAGGGACACAAAATACAAAAAAAAAAATTAAAAAAAAAATATCCAAAAACCAAAAACAAAGTAAATATATTCTGCTGATATGTAAAAGTGTAAAAGAGAAAAAACAAAAATTACAAATATTTTAGTTAGAAATTTTTGTTTGCTTGTGTGATTATTTTTTAGATGGTGATCCTTTATAGTGAGCGTCAAATACCAAAAAAAGAAAACAAAAGCAATAACAAAAAAAAATGAATACATTATAGTTTTGACGTTGTCATTTTTATATCATTTTCTTATCATATACTCTTGCTTTTTACGAGCATAATGTAAGGAGAACGTATACGTGCTTTGAAAACTTCTTACCTAAAAGCCTAAGAAAACAAAAAGGAAAAAAGCATTTTATTTTATGAAGATAGGCTACCTAACTGTAATAATGAAAAAATATTGTTTTTAAAATTTTCTAGATTGAAATTGCATACTTTAAGGGTTTTTTTTCTTAATTTTATTAAAAATACAAAAGATTTTTATTTTACTTTTAAAATATTTAAAGTATTTAATTGCCAGGAGATTTTTATTAGCACAAAGCAATATATGCGAGAATATTGTTTTTCTCTTCTCTATTAGGTAATTAATTTAAATTTTTCAAAATATTGAAAAATTGTACAATTTTAGTAACGAAACTTTAAAAATTTCCTATTATATTCCTAAATATATAAAATTCTCTCGATCAGAAATTTTGTTAAGAAAATTTCCTCTATAACTAGAGCGATCAGATCTTTTGTTAAATTGCCGCTAATAAAATATTTGAGTAAATTAAAATACGTTCTCATACTCTCTTTAAAGGTGAATTATTCTCTCAAAACTGAATACAATTTGTGTACTCAAAGTGAAAAGCGAAGAAACATTGTTTTATCTCTGATTTAATACTATTAGTTCTCACTTACAATAATTTTAAATATTTTTGTTCACTAAAATTTCTCATTTATTCTAGTTCAAAAAGAATTTTTCTAAAAATGCTAAGAATTTAAAAAAAGGCTGAATATTTACAATAAAAAGGTAAATAAACAAAAAATTCAATGTTGGAATGATGAATGAAATAAAGAGAAACATGAAAACTAAATGTCATATTCAAATAGATCAAAAAAAAAAACGAAAAACTACTAAAACAACTGACAAAGAAAAAAAATTGTTATTTTTTTTTAGTTCCTCCTTGAAGGAGGAAAGGAAGCTAAGAAAAATCGTTTAACAAACAAACAAAATAAAAAAGCACCAACAAAACTTTGAAAATAATTTAAAAATGTCCGCCCACAATTAAATTAAGAAAATAAATTTAAGGAAAATGTTCAGCTGCTGCTCCTATTTTTTTTATTTTTTCTCTTTCCTCATTCTCTAAATTCACAATTTAGTGAATCTACTCTTTCTGTTTTTGAAATACTTCAATTTTCCTGATGTCTTATGTCAGAATATTTTCTTATTATCCCTATACACATAAAAGCCCTAGGGGAAATAAAATGTGAATATATTACAATAAAACAAAAGAATAAAAAAAAAGACGAAACAAAAAAAAAGGGACCAGATTTTTTGATCCGCTCTTTTTAATATTTTTTTTTCATTTTTGTTGAAGGTAAAAAATTAAGTTAAAGGTAAATAATTAAAAAAAAAAAAGCAAGCACTAATTTGATTATGTTTAGTATTGAAATATTGAAAGAAAAATTCAAGATTCCCACTTAATTGTAAACCATGTATGAAATCGCGTAAATAAGTAGAAATAATTTAGAAAAAATTAAAGATCCGAGAGGCAAACACATTTAAATTTTAAAAATTTCGAAAATTTTCTTTATAAAAAAATTTTATTAAGAGCTACGCAATCAATATCTTCACATTAATTTGTGGAAGGTTTTAATCCGAATTGAGAATCCGAATTTTTAGCTCGTTATTTGAAAGACCTTTTAATACAAAAAATTTACATATCCATTTTAACTGGATTAATTAAAGAATTTTCAAAAAAGTTGAAAAAAAAAACAAATTGTTTTCTTAAATTCTTTCTCAATTGAAAGATTTTTCAATTCCCACTTGTGAAAGTTTTGGGTTTCGTTCTATTAATTTCAGATGTGCAAATTGTTTTACTAATATGGCGCACCAAACAATTTTAATGTAAAGTTTTTCAATAATTCCAATAATTTTCACTTGAAATTCTATATCGGGACAATTTTGGTACAATAGGTCGAAAACGATAATTTTTATAGGAAAAAATACTGGTACAAGTACCTTCATGTATCATGAACGACCACACACTCTACATAATCCAAACAGAAACCCAATCAACTTGGTCAAATTGTGTAAACTTTTTCCGAAGTATAAAACACTTTTGCACTTAATATAGAAATTTTTTTCCATCCACAGCCAGGTGTTCTATTAAGAGTTGAAAATCAGATATTTTTGTTATATGGCTAATAAATACTATTTTTCTAAATGTCAACAATTTAATTTTATTCTCAAATTTGATAATAAGGAATGCAAATTGAATGGCATTTTAAATTCGTATTAAAAAAAAACCCCCTAGTCTTATTCCCTATAGCATTCTGCTAAATTTTTTTGCCCTCTTGAAAATTATCCCATTGCATTAAGGATATTTAAGACAAATAATTTCTTCTCGACTTCTCGAATAAGTCCTTTCATCTTATAAATATATTAAATAGTTTTTAAATAGACAAGAAAATTAAACTATAAAACTTACTCCCTCTTTTATTGCTGAATCTCCTTTTTGGCCTTTTTGTCCCATTTCACCTTTAGGTCCAGGTATTCCAGGTCTTCCCTGTAGATCATAAAAAAAAACAAAAATAATAAATGAAAATTGAATGAAAATAAATTAAATTTTTTTTTTCTTTTCCTCATTTTTTTGTTTACTTTTTTCATTAAATGTTATTTTTTTCTCTTTTTTTTTGTGTAAACATTCAAAAAACGTAACGTAACACAAAATAGATAAAAATTTAAGTTAGAAACACTATTATGCTACAAAATAACAACAAATATGTAGGTAAAAATGAAAATTATTTTTATTTCTACAATCTATAATATAAAAAGGAACTGGAAAACAAAAAATGATAAAAAAAATTGGTTGCAAAAACTAAGATAAAACTAAAATAAAGAATTTGAAAAAAAAGAAAAAGGTCCTGTTCTACGGTTTTGTAAAATTAAAATAAAAAGTGTATATAAAATTTTTTTCTCCTACAAAGAGACGAATTTAAAAGTAAAAAGAATTTTTCATCGAAAGTGAATGTGTTTTCTGAATTCTTCAGTTACTAGTTTTTGACTATTACGGCTGTTATACTAAAATTAATTGCAGTACTTCTTGGCTTTAAAAGTTTATGTTCACAAAACTTGAAAACGTGCTTACCGTATTTTGTCTTGCAAGCATTTGTTTATTACACTATATTATTAATTTATTACACTAGTGTAGACCGCTTGTATCATGCTTTGACAGCAATAGTGTTACAATAAAAAATTTCTTTCACCGGCGAATTCGTTAGCATTTGTTATTACGTAAGGCGAATTTATTTGCAAATTTTATCAGGAAATGGCAATACTATGCAATATTTACAGTATTTTACAATGAAACATCACAATAAATTTTTTTTATACTTTTGACAAGCTTCCGTTCTAGTCACATCATATTTTAATTCGCTTCATTTTTGACGGGCTTGCAAATAAATCTGGCGAATTCGGCATAATTCAATAACAAACTGTCACATTCGCCAAATTTCTTGGAAAATTCACTGTACATAAAGAGTTCTCACTCGGAGTTTCAACTTCAAATTCACCAAAAGAGAATAGTGTAAATAGAGCGCTAAAGACAGGAAGCATAATCTGGAGAGGAGAGTAAATATGAGAACGAATTTCAATAAAAAAATTTACCTCCTCTGTATTACATTGAAAACATCAACCTTCCGCTTTCTATGTAGTCGTTCTAAAAATCGTACTACAAAGGCGTTATAATATTTTTTTAAAAATACTGAAGAGAAGGGAAGAGAAAGAGCAGTTTGTTATGCTTATCAGTCATTGTTGTTCTCAATATGCCAGGCAATTTATAGTACGTTTTTGAACCCGGTCATTGATAGAACATTTCCGTCTTTCAAAAATTCTTTTTACTTGTTTAACATTCTTTGTGCAATTTAACATCAGAAAAGCTTCAACTGATGCGTTTTCCATTTAAGGTCTTCTTAGTAGGATATTTTGTCTGTTTAATTTTGTTATTCTTTTTTTTTTTGAATCTTATTTACCTTATTATTCTTAGGTGTTTAATAAAAAAGGTCACCGGATTTCATCAGATAAAAAAATATGAACGAAGATATAAATTTTTTTTTTCGATTTTTTGTATTTTTTGTTATTGAGTTAGTTTATGTATTTTTTTTTATTTTTTGGGGAAGAAAAAAAGGACCAATAGATCAGAAAATAAAAAGTGCAAATAAAGAAAAAAAAAAAACAATTTTTTTTGATTAGTGCTCTCTTAAAAATTTAATCCAAGTACGAAAAATTTTTATTTATTTTCTTTTTTTGGCAAAAAACAAAATGAAAAGGAAAACAGATTACTTACAGAATAACCAGTTCCAGCTTCACCAGGTGGGCCCGGTTTTCCAGGTGGCCCAATTGGACCTGGTGAACCAGGTTTCCCTCTTCTTCCACGCATTCCTTTTTCTCCTTTGTCGCCCTTTAAAAAAAAAATAAGAAATATTACATTTTTGTTAGAATGATCAGTCAACTTTTTACTTTTGTTCCATTAACAGCCATATCAGCCGAGAAAAACGGTTGTCCAGGTGGACCTTCAGGACCTCTATCACCTTTTGGACCAGCTACTCCTCGTGGTCCCTTTTCACCTTTTTCACCTTTAACACCTGGCATACCAGTTAAACCAGATGTTCCAGGTTCACCATCAAACCCAGCCGGCCCTAAATTGTAATTTAAGAAAATTTAAAAATCATTTTATAAATAATTAAAAAGAGATTTAGCAATAATTTGTATGATATTTATATTACCTCTTGGACCAATTGGTCCAGGTGGGCCCGGTTGACATTGACATTCAGTTATATTTGTTTTTGGATCAGAATATATCACAGTTCCTGGTGGCCCAGGTGGTCCAACTGGACCAATTTCACCTGGAAATCCTCGATCACCTTTAATTCCAGGCGCACCCGGTGCACCAGCTAATCCTGGAAAACCAGGTGCACCAGGCTCACCTTTTGCACCAGATAATCCATGATTTCCTGGATGCCCCTGAAATTTTGTTTCAAAATTAATAAAATAATCTTTAATATTTGCAAACATTTTCAGTTTTAAGTATTCTGCCTGACCATCTATATCCGATAAATCTTAGCATATGTTAAATACTTTAAGTGTAAGCAAAAAATGTGAAAGCGAAGCTTCCTGACTAATTTTAACGTTATACAACGAGTTGTTCAAAGTTTTTTCTGTATATGTGAGAAGAGCTTAAAATAATATTTTAATTATATTTTACTTAGAAAATTCTACTACAGCTATGACCACTTTTTCAGTAGGATTTGAAAATTAATTTAAAATTTTGCAGACTAAAACGAACCATCAAATAGACTTTGAATCAAGATTTTGATTATTTTTCAAAAAATTAAACAAACTATACTTGTGCATACCATTGTAATTAATTACAATAGCAGTATGCATTGAATGGTTTTGAAAATTTTCGAATCATTTATAAATTAAAGTTTTAAACCATTTTCACATGCAATATTCTTGTGTGTCAATCAAATTTCAATATTCATGCTTGTCTATAAAATTTAAAATAATTAAACTGAAAATTGTATTTTGTTTTTTTTATTCTCTGGTCCACATACAAGTAACCAAATTCACATATACAGTAATGTTTCATGAACATTTTTGCATAATACGATGGATATTCAGCGCAAACATGCGGTTAGAATGGTTCTTAAACGCTAAATAAAAATTTCTAAATCATTGAGTTGGCTGACACAGTGTTTAATTTATCAGAATAAATTAAATGAGAAAACGAAAAATTGTTTTGGCAAGCGCAAATAGGCAGTTCTTTTACTAGCCGTTCGTGTTGGATATTTTAATTATTTTTACATGATTTAGTTTTTTTATACATGAACACTTGTGGTCTTATGAGAATACAATTGAATTATAAAAATAATCGTTTTGTGTTATTTGTAATATAAACTAATTTTATGATATTTACTTAGGTGAGATTAGGCTAGGTTGTCGCGACCCCCCGAAGGGTCCACATAGGCCAACAGACACCGTGGGATTGTTGTTCCGTTGTGGCACCGTGGGATATTTCTTTTTCCGTCCCTAATTCGAACCAGCCGGAGCTCCTCAAAAATCGACTCAAACATCTAACGCTTACATTCGCTAAGCCAGAAGAAATAAGACTCAAGAAATCTTTGCCTGGATGAAATATGATAATAGAAGGAGGGTCACAGTTTCCCCCTCCCCTTCGTTGCAGGAGCTCCAACAAAGATCATTTGCGGGGCTCTCCTTGCATGCCCGCCAATCAGACAATGGCCCGTCAGAACGCCTACAACTGCACTAATATCGTCCCCTCTGAGAGAGATCAGATCACTTGTGCGACACAAATTTACCTTATGTTTGCTTAAGACAAGGAATTGCTATAAATTCCTTGTCTTAAGTAAACATAATATTTACTTAAGATTTTCTGGAAACTTCTGATTTATTTTGGATTGTTGTCTGACTCTTCATTCCCAGTTTGTTGTATAAAAGAGCAAGTAAAATCTTGGAGTCCAGTAGAATGTAGTTGGGATCAACGTTATTATGATCTGACGACGCTTTTACCAAAAGCGAGTTACATCTCTGCACGAGAATTTATTGATAAACCTGACATTGCAGAAACTGACGTTAAATAGGTCAATGGGTGAGCTTACAATGCCATCCCACTGTCCGGACATACATGGTACGATTTTCATACCCCCTCTTAAAATAATTCTCAGACTCATCTCTATTGCATTTACTTTGGCCAGAAAAAATGTACAGCAATGATTAAAGTGCTCAAATATACGCGTGTTTTTTCAAAAACGATATAGACATAGATCTGTACATGCATATTCAACATGTATGCATGTTTCAAACTTTAAAATTATAAAATATTTACGGCATTTTTTGATGTCATATACGGTTAACTAACTAGGTATTGAAAACTATTACAGAAACTTGAGTTTTTTTTTTTAGCTTTCTAGTTATAAGTAGAAGCACACACACAAATATGTTCTTCATGAGCACGTAGTGGTTTATAGTTTGGATATAATAGAAAATTATTATGTAAAATGTTAATTTTTATTAAGTTTATGTATAAGTTTTGAAAAATAAAGTTTAGTTGAAAAACAATAAAGGAAAATAAGAACCCACGTCCCTATTTTGCATTTTTTTAGAAGGAAATGATTGATGGGTTTTTAGTAAACTTTTAATTTTTCTAATTTTTTATTTCATTTTATTCTTGTTTTAAAAATGTACATTATAATTAAATTGAGTATAAGAGTGTTTTCCTATACAAAAGTATGGAAATATTACCCTATAAGTTTTAAAATAATAATTACACCTTCTTATACTTAAAATCGACTACATGTTGGTTTAGTAATTAATTTTTTTAATATAGGCACCCCCAACATTTATTTATTTATTTATTGATCTGCGAGTTGAGTTCCTTAGGTTAACCTTTAATATAAAAAATTTGCAATGAAAATTAATATTGAAACTGCATGGAAAAATGTCCTACAGCGTGTTCAATGCATTTCCCCCCCCCCCCCCCCCCCCCCGCTCCCCACCCCTTAAAAAATTTCTACTCACACTCATTATACATGTCACCACTTTCTATATTTCTTTCTATATTAAAGATCATCAATCTTTATTTTAAGGAACATTCAACAGACCTGCTGGAGCTGTTTGGGAATTATTTTGAGAAGCGAATAACTTGGTGATATAGTGATATTTATCGTACAAAATTAGATATTATTATCGTAAACACAAACCAATTATTAGCAATGGTTTGCGTCTATAATAAAATTTTGAAAATAGAGAAAATTTCGAATCTCAATAATTTACCAATAAGTAACTTATGATTGAAATTTGATTAAGTTGTTACTAAATTTTTCAAATATTTGACTCTAGATTTACCTAAGCCAAATTTAATTTTTATTTTTCTTGTTTCAACTTTCAACTAATTTTAATAATTTATAAAAAAAATGTTATATGGGAATTATTTCAAATTTTACTTACCCGATCACCTTTGGCACCTGTCATTCCTGGGTCACCACGTTCACCTTTCTGTCCTAATATACCTCGTTCACCTTGTCTACCCGTTGAACCTTTTTCACCTTGATCACCTTTTGGACCAGGTGATCCACCACGTCCTAATGTTCCAACATTACCTAACATAAGTGATTCCTAAATACATACAATTTCCGAAATATTAGGAAAATTGTAATTAAGGAAGAAAAAAAACCAAAAAAAAAAAGAATGTAATTAGAATTTATTTCATAGTAAAACGGAATTAGTTAAAAAAAATGTTTTTTTTTTTTTCAAGTTTTTAATTAAAATAAGAAAGGATATTAAATTTTACGTTGAATGAAACCTTCAAAAATTACCAGGATTTCTTTTTATATTTTTACATTTTAAAAACATTTCAAGTTTAAATAATTTTCAATGATTTTTTCTTTTTAATTTTTGGAAATAATTGTTTCCCTTAGGGTTTTCCCTATTATTGGGATGACAAAGACAAAGTTATTCTATGTCTATGTTTGTGTACAAATATGGTGATATTTACACATTTGTAATGAAGTGAAATAATCAATGTTTTTCCTATTATTCAATTTTCAGAGTATCATAAGCATTGTCAACTATAAAATGTAGTCGAACCCTTTAAGGACATTTGAATACGAGCCTTTTGAATGCAAAAATATGAAATTTTAATTTTTTTGTTTTCATATTTCCTTATTATTATTCCATTATTTAAATAATTTTAACCTTGCAACATTGAATTGTAAAAAGACGTGAATAAAAAGGATATCCAAAATTTTCTGATTTTATTTTTTGGGCCATTTTGTATTGTTTTTTTATTAAATTAGTAAAATTGAAAAATATTGCTACAAAAAATATGAAAATCTTATTTAAAATGTAGAGAAAACAGCTGCAATATGGCACGTGTTTAAAAATTTTTCAAAATTATCTTGGTGTTGGACAAGGATATTTGTTCTTATTATTGTGCAGCTTGAAAACAAATACAATTTATTCGTTTTTAACTAAGCATTTTTCTCTTAGATTTTCATTATCCCATGTATTTTTTGTGTGTGTGTGTATTGTTACTTTAATTTCCGTTCTTTTTTTTATAAGTTGTTATCCTTGACATAATAAAAACAAAATATCACCCATATTGTGTCTACATGGAAAATCTAATATCATATAATAACAATAATAATGAGTATTTAGTTAAATAAAAAAAACCCTAGGAAAATAGAAAATACCCTTGATAAAAAACAAAAACAAACTTTTGTTGTTTTATCAAAAGAAATTAAAATGTTAGGGTAACTACTAAAACAAAATTATGAGGCTCTTTGAAAATATTAAAAATGGAGAAAAAAATTTTAATCAAATATATAGAGTTGGTTTAGTTACTCTTAGATTCTTCATTCGGCAATGAAATTCAGCCAAAATGTACCTAAAATCTCAAAATCCCCAATTTTTGACCAATTAAAAGCGGAAAGTGGCAGCAAAATTGTGTTACAACAGAGTTCAAATGCTTGTTTCACTATTTGCAGTCAAACACCTGCTTCGACCAAGAGAAATAAAATTCGAAATTTTCTACAACAACTATTAAAGACTAGTTTTCAAAATTTTTCAATTATTATGCTGAAAAATTGCAATTGGGTTTTGGAAAATTTCCATAGAATTGAGATGACTGTTTTTATAATAAACGATAAATCAAATTTTTAAACTTCTTTAAATTTCACTGCATTAATTTGAAATTAAGAATAGAAAATATAAGGATCCGGACAGGACAAAATTTTAATGTACAGAAGGAAATTGACACAATAGTTTTAAAACACAGTTTAAACTTTACTTTTAATAACCAGATCCCACGTTTTCGTAAAATTGAAATTCTTAAGTACAGCATAAAAAATTTTACATTAAGCTGTTCCAATCAATCATTTTAATTAAGTGTTAAAATTAGTCGGACTAATTCGTTCGGTAAGCCAAGAAATCGGCAGCAAAATTTCTATATTTTGCGATTATAATTTTACATTAATAAAACCTAAAATTTTAAGTGAGTGAAAACCGGAAACGGCAACCAATTTGAAAGACCAAAACCCGTCAAATTTCTGCAACACGGAGAAATACCAGATGAAACCCTAGTAAGCAATTGACAGGTATAAAATTCGTAACTAAATCGTTTGAGAAAACGAGAATGGAATGAAGGTCAAATTTGAAAAGAAGGAAGCAATACTTAAGTACTCAGGTAGACATGCAATTTTCAGTTTCGCACCTATTTGTTTGCTAATTTGTATTCCATAGGTCTATATTCAAGGGCGCAGACATGCAATGTAAGTTGACGTAATGGTTTAGTTGCTTTGATGTGCGCGCAACGATTTTACAATCAACTAGTAATTGTAAAACTTAAACCAAGAGAAAATAGAAAGAGCCGCATTGTGGCTTAATAAATTTATAAAAATTTTTCCAATTCCAGAGTTCATCACAAGGGACCTGGTGGCAGTGGAGACTGAGGCTCAACAAACAGGTGGAAGTCAGAGGTTAATATGTGCCTCAGTGTACTTTCTGCTGCTGGACGAGGTCAACAATGATCTCTGCCTCCTACTTAACCGGTTCTTCGAGGAAAGCTGCCCGGTCAGAACACAAAGCGCTAAAAGGGAGTTGCCCTGGTGGAATGGGAGGTTGGCTGGGTTGAAGAGGAGTGTTAGGAAACTCTTCAATAGGGCCAAAAAAAACCTCTGAGTGGGAGAGCTACCACAGGGCTTTCATAGAATACAACAAAGGGATTCGCAGATCTAAAAGGAAGACATAACGAACCTTCTGTGGGGACATTCAAGAGCTCCCCAGAGCCTCCCGTCTGCTTAAGGCGCTTTCTAAAGATGGTTCTTTCACTGACAATGCCGAGAAGACCGCCATGCTTCTCCTTAGGACGCACTTTCCGGGTTGCGAGTTGAGGCAAACATCACAGGCGAGTTGTGGAATCAGCTCGGAGGGCGGAGGAGCGATGAGAAGCCGGGTTGGGAGCCTGTCTGAAAGAATCTTTGACAGGCAGAGGGTCAGGTGGGCTGTGGAGTCCCTTGAGCCCTACAAGTCCCCTGGTGGAAATGGAATCTACCCCGCCATGTTGTAAGAGAGCATGGAGGATTTGGTTCCGCTTCCGAGGGTGAGGGTGGTATTCATACCGAAGGCCAATCGCCCTGACACTCACCCGAAGTCATACCGGCCAAAAAGTTTGACATCGTTTCTCTTGAAGTCGATGGAGGAGATGCTAGATGTGCACGTGAGGGCCACAATGGAGGGAACCTCACCTTTGCACGGAAAGCAGTTCGCCTATCGGGCGGGAATGTCAACCGAGATTGCCCTGCACCGCCTCACCCAAGAAATAGGCGCTGGAGACCAAGCACATAGCCCTTGCGGCCTTCCTGGATGTTGAGGGGGCCCTCGAAATGTTACCGCCAGGGTGGGAGGCGCCAAGATTACGGTGCGGATCATGCGTGGTTGCCCGCAGGGGGGTGGGGTCCTATCTCCCTTGCTCTGGTGCATTGTGGTGGACGGGTTGCTGTACAAGCTGTCTCATAACGGGTATAATGTACAGGGCTATGCTGATGATCTGGTCGTTGTTGTGAGGGGCCAGCACGATGATGTCGTGGCTGACCGAATGCAGGTGCCCTAAACATCATACGGGATTGGACGCAGGTAGAGGGCCTTGGCATTAACCCGGGAAAGGCAGTCATTGTACCATTTACTAGGCGACGGAAATTTAATGTACGCCCGTTGCTCATGGGGGTCACAAACATTGGGCCGTCCAAGGACGTCAAGTATCTGGGAGTAATCCTAAAGCAACGACTAAACTGGGGACCTCATCTTGATGGAGTCATAGTTAGGGCCCCCCGGGCTCTAAGGGCTTCGACGAGGCTGGTTGGGAAAGCGTGGGGATTTAGACCTAAAATGGTTTACTGGACCTACACTACAATTGTTCGACCAATTGTATCTTATTCTTCTGTCATATGGTGGCAGAAGGCTGAGCAGGCGACGGCGCGTTATTAGTGAGGATTCTCACTGGACACTGCCTCACGAAGGTCCACCTGAAAAGGATGGGCAGGGTGGCGGATGAGGTCTGCCGTTTATGCCTGGAGGGGGACGAAACCATGGAGCACTTGCTGTGTGAGTGCGAGGCGGTTGCTCGCCTACTGCTGAAGTGCTTCGGGGGAGGGGGGGGGGGCTTTGTGACCCCGGTGAGGATCTTGCAGCTTCATGTTGCTGCCATACTGCGGTTTGTCAGAGGTCTAGGAATAGGGCTAATGTCGGTGGATAGGAATCACAAAAGATCCTATGAGTCGACGTGAGTGGGGTCTAGGGACCTCGGTCCCCGTGGAGAAAAAAAAAAAAATTGTAAAATTAAAAATTGAATGTCCGTCTGACCTAGAGGTTCGTATTAACACATTTTGAAGAAATTTCTGTCATATTTCAATTATTTGCCAAAATATCTGAGTAAACTGGTAATAATTTTTACAAAAAAGCACAGATATCGCATGATACGAGTATAATGATAAATTTTTATTTATAATGGACTGATCTTGACATTTCATTAAATGTTATTTTTGTTAAAAATTTTATTTTTTTATCATATATTTAATAATAATAAACAGTTAACAACACCATTATGCAACTAAAATAAAAATAAAGAGGAAATGTTGCTTTTTGTTTCTCTTCAAAGTTATTTGAAAGTGTATAACACAAAGTGTATATACAAAAAGGAATTAAAATGTGTTATTAAGACTAAAATATACAAAAGATTAAAGCTTAAAATTAAATTACTTTGAAGTTCACTATTACAACAGTATTTATTCTATGTACACATGTACATACTTATATACACAAAACATATGCGCACTTAAGCATAACAATAGCAGTTTTCTAACATTAAAAAAATAATTTTCTCTTTTTTACATTTAGTATTCATAAAAAGCAATTCACAATTTTATAATGAAAAAAAAGGATAATAATTTAACGAATTAGAATCCATCAACACTTTAAAAAATTTTCCAAGTTTTTATGGATTTTAAAGCAAAAGGAATATGTTATTATCGTAATAATAAACATTTTCTTTTTTTTTTAATAATTTAAGAGTAACAATAATGTTTTATACGGTAGAAATTATTTTTAAAAGGGTTGCAAGG